AGTTATAAAGGGACATAACTGAAGAACAGTAAAAGTGACGCTACCCAAATTTGAACTTGATCTGAGTTTTGTGTGTAAGTCTCATAACATTTGGTTGAGGCTAACTTAAGTAGAGAACAGAAAAACTAAAAATTCAGCAATTTTCTATTTATAAAGGGGCATAACTCAATAATGGTTAAAGTGACACTACCCAAATTCAACTTGATCAGTGTTTTATCAGTGGAGGTCAAAATTAAACATTGCATTGTATAAAGCATTCATTGTAGTTGATTCAACTGTAATCATGGACAAAGGAAGATAACTCCAATTTAAAAAATTACTTGATATTTAGAAGAAAATAAAAATTTTGCAATTTTTTCCATTTATAAAGGGGCATAACTCTAGAACGGTTAAAGTGACGCCACCAAAATTCAAACTTGATCTGTGTTTTGTGGTAATAAGCATTGTGTATAAGTTTCATAACATTTGGTTGAGGCAAACTTAAGTTAGAGGACGGAAACTAAAAATTTTGCAATTTTTCCATTTATAAAGGGGCATAACTCTAGAACGGTTAAAGTGACGCCACCAAAATTCATACTTGATCTGTGTTTTGTAGGTAATAAGCCTTGTAAATAAGTTTCATAACATTTGGTTGAGGCAAACTTAAGTTAGAGAACGGAAACTAAAAATTTTGCAATTTTTCCATTTATAAAGGGGCATAACTCTAGAACGGTTAAAGTGACGCCACCAAAATTCAAACTTGATCTGTGTTTTGTGAAAATAAGCATTGTGTATAAGTTTCATAACATTTGGTTGAGGCAAACTCAAGTTAGAGAACGGAAACCAATTTTAGGACGTACGGACGGACGTACGTACGTACGTACAGACGGACAAGGTTAAAACTTAATGCCCCCACCGCTACGGCGGGGGCATAAAAAATGAATTGTGTGCAGTCGGCGCACCATCCAGAAAAAAATGTCTGGACCATACAAAATAGATATAAGAAGATGTGGTATGAGTGCCAATGAGACAACTCTCCATCCAAGTCAAAATTTATAAAAGTAAACCATTATAGGTCACAGTACGGTCTTCAACACGGAGCCTTGGCTCACACCGAACAGCAAGCTATAAAGGGCCCCAAAAATTACTAGTGTAAAACCATTCAAACGGGAAAACCAACGGTCTAATCTATATAAAAAACGAGAAACGAGAAACACTTATGAACCACATCAACAAACGACAACTACTGAACATCAGATTCCTGACTTAGGACAGGTGCAAACAAATGCAGCGGGTTTAAACGTTTTAATGGTACCAAACCTTCACCCTTTTTCTGAAACAATAGTGTAACATCACAACATAGAAAGACATACTATAAAATATCAACTGAAATAGCTTAACTCAATCAAAGGACATATTAACACCAGTGAACATACACTGAACAAATAAATTTGACCTATGATACAATGTAAATACAAAATAAATAAACTAAGGGAAGAATAATAAAAGTAACATGTTATTTCCTTATGAAATGTTAAGCAATTTAAGAAAAACAATATGCTCGAACAAAAATATCAGCGATATCTTTAAACACAGGTAAATGAAAATAATTTTGTTGTTAGGTATACGTGTACAGTTCCAATAGAGAAAGGAAATACTTTTCCAAATAAATAATTTTGATGTTCATAGTACGAAGTGAAAATTTATAGTAATACCAAACACTTATCAAAGCTGGTATATAGACCAGATATAACCCTGAATAACATTAAATAACAAAAAAGTATTACAATTAGTATCAACAGGTCAAATAAACAAGAAAGTACGATTTGAGAGTACTCGCAGTTACTGACAGCTAGTTAAAAGCCAAAACAATTAATAATAAAAAATCATGCATCAGAGACTAAAATCAACTCAAACACATCCCACGGATTTAGTATTTTAAAGTCATGGACAGTCATAGAAGACATGACTAGTGCAATGCCAAAAATAAATGTATCGACAGACAGTAGGATAGTTAGGAGTTTAACCTCTTTATAGATCAAAATGAACGTGGGTGTGTCTTTATACATCCCGTTTCAAAAGAATACAAATTTAGTTATGTTTTAATTTACTGATGACAAAATCGATATTAGTGCCAATGTAAACTATATTCAAAGATCTAATTACAATATTGGTAAGATAACCTTTACTAATAAGTTTGTTTAAAGGTTCGATGAGTTTACACGGATCACATAGTGATTTCCGCGCTTTAAGTACAATATTACCGTAAAATACCGTTTTTAATCAGTTTTCTACAGGTACAGCCAAATTTACTAATCAAATCTTTGTATCTATGAAAGAACTTAGCAAAAGTTTTACGTAATTTATGGTAACGAAATCCCTGACTTAATAATTTACCAGTGATGCATTGATTACGTTCGTTAAAATCTATGACATCACTACACACACGGGCATAACAAATGAGTTGGGATATATAAACATCGTATGATGGAGCCAAAGGAACATCGCCGTTTAAAAAGGAAAATTATCAATAGGGAATGAAAAATCGTCTCTTTTGTCGTATATTTTTGTATGGAGTTGTCTTTTAGAGATTGAAATGTCCAAATCCAGAAAAGGACAACTACTGCTGTTTATGTTAGATTTAGTTAAAGTAAGTTCTATTGGGTAAATTTCGGTAGTATATTTAGAGAACTCTGGATTATTTAACGAAAAAATATCATCTAGATAACGGAAGGTATTTTTGAATGTATCAACCAAATGTAACAATGACGTGTCTTTACTGAGTTTGGTCATAAACTGAGATTCATAGCAATACAGGAATAAATCTACTATTAAAGGGGCGCAGTTAGTGCCCATAGGAATACCTACTACTTGTTGATACACTTTATCGCCGAAACGTACATATATGTTGTCCAGGAGAAAATTTAAAGCTTCAATCATATCTTCACATTTCCAGTAAGTGTATCTAGCATACTTTCCTTTTTCGTTACAGAAAAAGGCTTTAAACGAGTTACAGCAAATAAATTTGTAATGAGATTTTTCAAAAGACCATTTAATTAAATATGAAAACTTTTTCTTGATAAGATTGTGTGGAAGTGTAGTATAGAGAGTAGAAAAATCATAACTGTCAACAGAATTCAAAGGACCATCAAAAGAATGTATTTTATCTAAAACCTCTAAAGAATTTTTAACACCTGTTTATGCAAAGTTTTTCTGTTTATAGCTTTGATCCACTCAAGTTTTGTTGGCTCGTCAAAAGGCATCAAATGAGACTTATATGGAATCAAACAAGGGCAGTCATTGTGCAACTCATTGTGTAATTCACATATTGATTTTTCCACATCTGAAGTTTTCTACGATTATTTGTAGAACTATTATCTGCACAAGAAATGCCTCCACCTTTTTTATAACTTTCGGCTGTATCCATAGTAAAATAAATCAGAAAATGAAAGAAATACAAATGTAAACAGAAAATCGATAATGTTTCGATCAATACATGTGCGTTATTTTTCACGGTTGTAATGGCTGATCGGTCACGTGAGAAGTTAATGGATGCACCCATGTTTTCTAGGTCAATAATAGATAAACCCATCTATATCTAGGCCAAATTTGTAAGTTCAAAGGGCATTACTCATAGAAAAACATTCCAACATAATTTCCTGTCGATAAACTATTCCCAAAGTTTCATGCAATTCTGTTGTGTGGTTTCAGAGGAGTTGCAATGACAAGCTGGTGCAGTAGCATATTCAGGCAAAAAAATGTAAGTTCAAAAGGCATAACTCCTAGAAAAAAAATTGAATCATAATTTCCTGTCAATATGCACATCTTCATAGTATGTCCTATCTATAAAGTTTTATGAAATTCTGTTGTGTGGTTTCAGAGGAGTTGAGATGACAAACTGTTGCATTAGTATATTCAGGCCAAAATTGTAAGTTCAAAGGGGCATTACTCCTAGAAAAAAAATTGAATCATAATTTCCTGTCGATATGCACATCTACATAGTATGTCCTTATTATCTACAAAGTTACATGAAATTCTGTTGTGTGGTTTCAAAGGAGTTGGAATGACAAGAACAGGACTGACAGACTGACGGACGGACGTACAGATGGACAAGGGTAAACCTTAATGCCCCCTCCGCTACGGTGGGGGCATAAAAAATATATAACAAAGTGATTGAACATGAAGCCAATGAGACAGATTTGAATGACATTTCCTAAATTTGTTAGCTTCATAAACAGCATTACTGTAAAAGGCAGAATGTGAAATACCACTTTTTTCAAATTTCTGCAATAATATTAACAGGACCAATTTTACTACATAAGATGGGCATTTCTACAAGTAGTCTCTCTGCTCGAGGCAAACTGAGAATGGGATCATACTTTCACAGTAAATCTCTATATTTGTGTTAACATTTAGCAAAAGTTCCAGCTAATTTATGATATCTATATCTCTGTTCTAAAAGTTTTTAGCAATGAAAATATAATGTTCATTGAAATCTGAGACTTCACTGCAGATCAACTAAGAAATATACACTCCATAAGAAAGAACCAGCAGAACATCACTACCAAGAAAAGAAAATGAACAAAAGAAATTCGTATTATTAAACTTTTTTTTTTCTTTATTTAATAACAAAAAGTATGCAAATGAGCTTTACATTGTTGCACATACTAATTGATATTTATAAAGGCAAGTTCAGTAACACAATTATTGGTGGTGGATTTAGTGAGTCAGTGAAATCATACCAAACTTAAATGGTGGCAATCCAATGAAAACAAGAATGCTACACTGTGTAAATCAGGAATAAAATTCTGTGTACAGTATAGAGTTGTACAACAGAATCATAGATTACATTATAAAGTGTATTTTGAGCTTTTGTATTTGTTGCTGTTATTCTTCTCATTTCAAGGTAAATGTGGTGTTTCTGCAAATTAAGGAATAGACATCATACTGGATTTCTATATAAGAAAGGAAATATAGTTATAGTCTAAAGCGTCAAAGGTTAATTTTTTTATTGCACTTACATATTGCATCAGTTCCGAGGCAGCCATGTTTGTTATAATGACAAGATAATGAATAACTACTCGTAAATTGTTTGGCCAACATACAACTAATGCTGCCCACAAATCCTCTATTTCTCTCGGATGGTCATCTCCATACTGAAATTGTAAATTTAACATTGCATATAACATGTATAATGAATATACCATATAGAGTTTATTGTCAGAATTAAAATTAACAGAAATATGTTAGACTCTTAATCAATGGCTCTCACAGTCATTTATATCAATTACTAAAATTTGTACTATCTGTCCCTAGGAATGAGTTGAAAAAAATCCAATTCCATGCTTTAATCTTTAATAAGATAATGCAATGAATATTACTGTTTACTTATACTTTGGCATTGCACAAGGTCATGCGTTTTTCAGACTGTTTATGACATCTTTACACTAAATCTGTAGAAGAACATGATTTATTTATTAGTTGTAATTGGCTTTGATCTAGCTTTCAGTAACTGCGAGTACCGTACTCTTATTTCTGTGCTCTGTCTATTGATTATATGTTAGTTGTTTTTGTCCCTTGTACCGGTCTTTTGAGTTAAGCCAATTGCTACTGATTTTTAGTTTGTTCTTAAGTTGTGCAGTTAAACCATTGTCCAAGGTTAGGAGGTTGAGCGTTTACAAACATGTTTAACCTCACCACATTCTCTTGTCGCTGTCCAAAGTCAGGAACCTGTAGTTCAGTGGTTGTTGTTGGTTCATTTCTGCCATATTTGTATTTTGTAAATTGATTTGTAATAAATTAGGACGTTAGTTTCATTTCTTTTTTAATAATTGCCAAAAATGCAATAAATTGGTAAAAAGGGTTATCTAAGGATTCTAAGGGCAATAACTCTTGTAAGTAGACAATTGATAATTTTGATTATGTCAACTTATTTGTAGAATGTATCTTTGTGATCACCTTTGCTGTTTACAGTTTCTCTCTATTTATTATGGTTTCAAGTAAATAACCAAAAGGGAAATACAAAGAATAACAATTTTGATCATATTGACTTATTTGTTTCTTGGCTTCCTGATCATTTTTGCAATGTACAGTTTCTCAGTATCAATAAAAGTTTTCAAGATAATTGGGAGGAAAAAAATCATCATTAAAAGGCAATAATTCCTATATGAAGTTGTCTGATATTTCCTGTAGGAAATGGAGAGTAGGTAGATCTCATTCTGAGCGTTTTTGCTCCTGACAAATTTCCCTATCCATTATAATTTCTACGATAATAGCCAATCACTAGCATTTACCCTTTCATTATTTTTTAAGCCATGGTGGCCATGTTGGTTGATTGGCAGGAACAAACAAAAAACACACTTTATACAAGATGCCCCAAGACCATTACGCCCAAGTTTGGTTGTATTTGTTCCGGTGGTTTTAGTGGAGAAGATTATTGAAAAACTTTTAGACGAAGGATGACAGAAGAGGACAACAGATGCCAAATAGTCTAGGTGAGCTAAAACATATCCATCATTTATACAAGACAAACTCACCTTAACAGTTAGATAAAACATGTTATTTAGCACCATTTTAGTTCCCTCTGGTGAGCCCCATCCTTCTCCTTTCAATGGAGGTTTGAAGCTATCAGATTGGTTGTCTTGGAGACGAATCAGAAAGTTACTGAGAGGAGAGGATTGTGGGAGTGAAGGATCCACCAACTCCATATTGTGAAGCCATGGCAACAAATTTCTTAATAGTATCTGTCTGACAGCAGATTTGGCAGTCTGAAATCGGTGCGTTATTTCTAAAACAAAAAATGGACTAACTTCCTTAGAAACAGACATCTGAGTTACTTTTTAGTATTTTTTTGGACAAACATGCATGAAGGGAAAAATAAGTTATGTGAAAATCAAAGCATTTCCAAAAATATAGACCCAAATCAGGAACTAAAATTATGTTATATGAATAACAGCAAACAAGTATACAAACCAATAAAATGCTCCGCTGGGCGCAGCTTGATACAACCGCAGAGGTCGAACCCTGAACAGTTGGGGCAAGTATGGACACAACATTCAAGTTTGATACAGCTCTGAATTTGGATTGTGATTAAATATTTGACACAGCATAGGTTTCTGACACAGAATGAATGTGGTCTAAGAACTTAAAATTCTTTAATTTACCTATTATGGTCCAATATCCAACATCTAAATACATGGTTAGATTCAGCATATCAAAGAATCCAAAGAATTCAATTTTTTGATGAAATCAAACAAAAAAGTTTAATTTTGGACTCTTTTGACCTCAATGTGGACCAATTTGATAACGGGGCCCAAAAATCAAAATACATGGTTAGATTCAGCATATCAAAGAACCCCATATATTCAATTTTTGTTGAAATCAAACAAAGTTTAATTTTGGACCCCAACTTGGACCAACTTGAAAATTGGGCCCATAATCAAAAATCTAAACACATGTTTAGATTCAGCATATCAAAGAACCCCAAGAATTTAATTTTTGTCAAAATCAAACTAAGTTTAATTTTGAACCCTTTGGACCTTAATGTAGACCAATTTAAAAAACGGGACCCAAAATTAAAAATCTAAATACACGGATAGATTTGGCATATCAAAGAACCCCAATAATTCAATTTTTGATGAAATAAAACAAAGTTTAATTTTGGACCCTTTTGACCTCAATATGAACCAATTTGATAGCGGGGCCCAAAATTAAAAAATCTAAATACATGGTTAGATTCAGCATATCAAAGAACCCCATATATTCAATTTTTATGTTGAAATCAAACAAAGTTTAATTTTGGACCCTAACTTGGACCAACTTGAAAACTGGGCCCAAAATCAAAAATCTAAATACATGTTTAGATTCAGCATATCAAAGAACCCCATATATTCAATTTTTGTTAAAATCAACCTAAGTTTAATTTTATACCCTTTGGACCTTAATGTAGACCAATTTAAAACTGGACCCAAAATTAAAAATCTAAATACACGGTTAGATTTGGCATATCAAAGAACCCCAATAATTCAATTTTTGATGAAATAAAACAAAGTTTAATTTTGGACCCTTTTGACCTCAATATGAACCAATTTGATAGCGGGGCCCACAAATAAAAAATCTAAATACATGGTTAGATTCAGCATATCAAAGAACCCCATATATTCAATTTTTGTTGAAATCAAACAAAGTTTAATTTTGGACCCCAATTTGGACCAACTTGAAAACTTGGCCCGAAATCAAAAATCTAAATACAAGTTTAGATTCAGCATATCAAAGAATCCCATGTATTCAATTTTTGTTAAAATCAAACTAAGTTTAATTTTGGACCCTTTTGACCTTAATGTAGACCAATTTGAAAACTGGACCCAAAATTAAAAATCTAAATACACGGTCAGATTTGGCATAACAAATAAATAAATGTGGTCAAAGATTTTACAAATCTAATGCACCATACTGTGCAATTAAAGATTACTTCTTGAAATTTTTCAATATTTGAAATTTGAAAAAAAAATAATATTTGAAGAATAATTCTTTTTAATTTCTGAAATCTGAAATGAGAAAAAATTGACTCCCCACAATTTCTTTTTACCCCCCCCCCCCCCCCCCCCCCCCTTTTTCCCAAAACAATTCTTTCCCTCAAGTTCCAATGGAATTTGCAACCATAATTACCCATTTAAATTTACCATAGTTCTAACTTAATCTGTTTTATAATAGAATTTAAAATATGGTGTCAAATCTTTGATATGGATTTTTTTGTAAAACATTTGCAGATATTTTTCCTGGTCTTCCTTTATAAATATGCATTTCTTTAAACATAATTTAAAAGCAGTGTAAGGGAAGTAATCAAAACGTTGTATGTGGATTACCTCCCTTACACTGTTTTAAATTGTCTTAATTGTTCATTAACCATTACTATATACATAATTTAAAAGCAGTGTAAGGGAGGTAATTCAAATGATGTATTTGATTTATCTCCCTTACACTGCTTTAGATTATGTTTTGTACTAAAGTATTTGTCCATATAAAAATGCCTGTTTTTTGCCCCTTTTTTGGCCCCTAATTCCTAAAATTTTGAGGCAATTACCCCCAAAATCAATCCCAGCATTCCCTTTGTGATATGGAACCTTGTAGTACAATGTCAGAGAGATCCATACACTAACACACAAGTTGTGTCTGGAAGTTACAAAAATGCTTATTTTTGGCCCCAAATTCCTTAACTGTTGGTACCATAGCCCCCAAAATCAATCCCAACCTTCCTTTTGTGGTATTGAACCTTATGGTAAAATTTCATAGAGATCCATTCACTTAAACTAAAGTTAGAGTGCGAAAACCAATGTGTCTTCGGACAACGACAACGCCGGACGACGCCAACGTCATACTAATATATGATCGCAAAATTTTTTTGCGGTCGTATAAAAAGTAGATGTCTCTTTTAAAAGAATTTACCAGTAGGCACAAAATCTGCCATTATAAAATTTTCAAATCTATTTTTAGATATTTTGTATTTTAATCCATGAAACATTGTAACAGTAAAATTCCAAATCCTAACTAATTCAAAACTGAAAGAACTTTCGCATTTAATAGATAAAAAATATTTGAATGTTACAAAATTTAAGCACAAGTATATAATTTTTCTAAAGTTGTTAATAATCAAAGTGCTGGGTAGCACCTGTGGAAAGTTTGCATTGGTAGATGTATATTATTTCAAATAGGTTGTAGATGTGTATTATTTCAAATAGGTTGTAGATGTGTATTACTTCAAATAGGTTGTAGATGTGTATTATTTCAAATAGGTTGTAGATGTGTATTATTTCAAATATGTGTTTAATCACAGCTTTGGTGTTTTTCCCTAAACCATTGTCTCATCAGCAATTATCAAAAATCACTTTTTTCATATGTTTGTCATGTAAAATTTTGATAATTTCTATTGCAACCTTAAACTGTTGATTTAAAATAATCAAATATACAGAAAGCTCTGTTAAAAATATTTCTGTGCCCATCCCATGTAAAGGGCCTGTGATTAAGTATTTTTTATTGATTAAGGTCCTTCATATTTGTTTTTAGTAAATTGTATTATTACTAATTAAGCAGTTAGTTTTCTTGTTCGAATTGTTATATATTGAACAAACTCGGACTACTATTAGTAGATTGTGTGGTTAACGTTTTTTTCCGACTTTTAAAAATGTTTACTTAATACAAGAAATAATTGTAACAGCAAGCTGTCTCCCAAACAAAGCTCCCATAATAATTCCCATGGTCACCTGACATTGGGCAAAGTCCAGTACAAATTGGTTTCGTCTAGTAAAGTGAAATGCAAAAGTGACGCCTAGGGATTAATCCTGTATCATTATGTCGTTCAAATCTTCTTGAAATCATGAACAGGAATATATATGGTTTAGGGGTGGGGATCTCAACCATTTACAAGTTCTCAATAAAATGCTCCGCTGGGCGCAGCTTGATACGACCGCAGAGGTCGAACCCTGAACAGTTGGGGCAAGTATGGACACAACATTCAAGCTTGATACAGCACTGAATTTGGATTGTGATTAAATATCTGACACAGCATAGGTTTCTGACACAGAATGAATGTGGTCTAAGAACTTCAAAATTTTATTCAAACAATATCATTATTATTTGCTTTTATATATAAATCAGAAATAACCAATTTAAAATGGAAAATTTTAAAGAAAAAAAAGGGGAAAAAAATCCCCCCCCCAAATTTTTTGAACCCCCTTATGATTCATCACCCCCAAACTCAATCCCAGCCTTCCCTTTGTGGTATGGTACCTTGCAGTACAATTTCAGAGAGATCCATACACTTGAACACAAGTTATTGTCTGGAAACTAGAAAAATGCTTGTTTTTTGGCCCCTTTTTGGCCTCAAATTCCTAAACATTTAGGGCAATTACCCCCAAACTCAAACCCAGCTTCCCTTTGTGATATGGAACCTTGTAGTACAATTTCATAAAGATCCATACACTTACACACAAGTTATTGTCCTGAAACTAGAAAAATGCTTGTTTTTTGCCCCTTTTTGGCCCCTAATTCCTAAAATTTTGAGGCAATTACCCCCAAAATCAATCCCAGCCTTCCCTTTGTGGTATGGTACCTTGCAGTACAATTTCAGAGAGATCCATACACTTGAACACAAGTTATTCTCTGGAAACTAGAAAAATGCTTATTTTTGGACCCTTTTTGGCCCCTTATTCCTAAACGTTTTGGGCAATTCCCCCAAACTCAATTCCCGCTTTCCCTTTGTGATATAGAACCTTGTAATACAATTTCATAAAGATCCATACACTTACACACAAGTTATTGTCCGGAAACTAGAAAAATGCTTGTTTTTGGCCCTTTTTTGCCCCTAATTCCTAAAATTTTGAGGCAATTACCCCCAAAATCAATCCCAGCCTTCCATTTGTGGTATGGTACCTTGTAGTACAATTTCAGAGAGATCCATACACTAACACACAAGTTATTGTCATGAAACTAGAAAAATGCTTGTTTTTGCCCCTTTTTTGGCCCTTAATTCCTAAAATTTTGAGGCAATTACCCCCAAAATCAATCCCAGCATTCCCTTTGTGATATGGAACCTTGTGGAATAATGTCAGAGAGATCCATACACTAACACACAAGTTATGTCTGGAAGTTACAAAAATGCTTATTTTTGGCCCCTTTTTGGCCCCTAATTCCTTAACTCTTGGTACCATAACCCCCAAAATCAATCCCAACCTTCCTTTTGTGGTATTGAACCTTATGGTAAAATTTCATAGAGATCCATTCACTTAAACTAAAGTAAGAGTGCGAAAACCAATGTGTTTTTCGGACGACGACGACGACGACGCCAACGTCATACCAATATACGACCTCAAAATTTGTTTCCCGTACAAGAATAAATATGTTTCGGGGTGGAGATCTACAGTTTTCAAAAAGAAGGGGGGTGGGGGTGACCCCTGTGGACTTCCCCTATATTTCATTTTATTTGTTTTATTGTCCCATGCAAGAATATATATGGTTTCGGGGTGGGGATCTCGACCATTTACAAGTTCTCAAACAGGAGGGGTGGGGGTGACCCAGAGGGACTCCCGCTATATTTCATTTGATTTGTATTATTCTCCCATAAATGAATATATATGGTTTAGGAGTGGGGATCTCGACCATTTACAAGTTCTCAAACAGAAGGGGGTGGGGTAACCCCGGGGACTCCCCCAATATTTCATTTGATTTGTTTTATTGTCCCATACAAGAATAAATATGGTTTAGGGGTTGGGATCTAGACCGTTAACAAGATAAAAGCACATTCTAAAATTGAAGGGGGTTGGGATGACCCCAGGGACTCAACCTATATTTTATTTGATTTGTTTTATTGTCCTGTGATCATTACTGAAGACTGCGTGTGTCTATATATCACTTACTGTTTTCAAGATATAGTCATTTGAAAATTTTAAAAAATAAAATCCCATAGGGTTCTATAGTAAATCCCTCCCTTCTGTAGGCCCCTCAAAATACCCCTAAAAAGACCCCAGGAAGAAAAATAATAAGAACTGAGCAAAAACAATAAGTCTCCAAACATTGTTTGGGAGACTTAATAACAAATAGTATATACGAATTTTGTTATAGTCCGATTTTGTGAGGCCGATTATGTAATAGGCCGAGTTTGTTATAGTCCGAGTCTGTTATGGGCTGAGATGAGATACCAGGATACTTTCGATACACTCAGGCTTTTACGTCTTAAATAAACATTTGTAAAAATCGCAGTAAAAATAGTGTCGAAAAATGTTCATCCATGAAATAATTTAAACACGGTATTTATTTTCTCTTCAACCGGAGGACGGGAGGAAACCCCTGAAACCGGGATTATTGTACTCCTGTCGGGAGGTAAACATATATGGATCTCACGCATGTCTGGGGAATACCGATAAAAGCATAATGTAGAAACTGCTGTCTCATGTAGATGTGTATTGATTTTATTTCCCACGCAGTGCAGATCCGCGAGGTAGTGTTTGTGATAGCCATTTTCAAAATGAAGTTGAATTCATTTGAATTATCAATGAACATTCAGTACATTTTAATTCAAGCTGTAAGCTAATCAAAATAGAAGTAACTCAAAATTTCAAAAGCATCTTCCTAGAATTAGTATTCAAACACTAGTACTACATTATCTAGGAGTAGAACACTAAGATAGTCTGTCCAACTTCCGGTTTGAGGATGATGCCTTAGGAAAGTATATTGCTATAGCAAGCTATAGCAAACTTTCCAAAAACTAGCATACTCAAAAAATCACATAAATGTCCTTTATAATAAAATAGAGTTAACATATATACATATTAAATAAATTTTATATTCAAATCAAAACTTGTATGTACATTATGGCAGATCTCATGCTGTCACATGACAGTTCTGGCCAAGTCACTACCTAAATCACAAACCCTAAAAATTAAAAGAGAAAAAAGTAAAAAAGACTATTTCCAGAGACATATATACTGTATTTATATGTCTCTGCTATTTCTGATGGGTGAACCATTAATCTTGTACCTGAAGTAAAACAAGGCAACAGATAATTTCTATTTATATCACTTTATATAAAAATGTTGACAGTATTACCTGAAAAAATAGGCATGGTTAGGTCCGGATGAAGTCTTGCTAATTGGTCTGAAAGATATATTTGTGAATGACAATAGGAGACAGATAAGTAGATGTCATGCAGAGGCATTCGCTGGTGGTGTTCCTCTGAAGAATCACACGTAAATATTGGCTCTTCTTGGAAAAACCGTGTGTCTAAAAGATGTAGCAACTGTACTGCTGTGTCATGGGTCTGCATTCTTGGACTGCCAACATTTAGTAAAGCAAGATTCAACATGGCTACATGGTCACATGGATATTCTCTAGTTTGGAAGACTGCTGCAAGGGCATTAAAGCATCCATCAGCCACTTCGTTAGCACCTGTATAACATCTGTCAATGACCCAGTCTAGTAGCCCCTGGGTATCAGGGTTAAAATCCAAAAGTAAAACCACAGTTTCTTTAGCTAAGTCATAGATCTGTAACAATAAAATACATTTCAGGTAATTAGTTAAGTTTATGCTTTTAGTACAAATTTTTTTGGTGGGCCCTTGGGATCCTTTTTTGAAAATCCTGGATCAGTAACTGGGGAAATTGGAACTATTCTGTTTCTAGGTACATTTATACATGTACCAGTATACATGGTAAGGTACAACAATTACAGGTAGACATGGTTGGTCACTTTCACCAAGAAGGAACAGGAAATGTGGCATAATTCTGGTAAATTATCATAATTTTGAGGCTATCAAACAAAAAGTAAACTGAAAACTGAAAACATGTCTTACTTATCTAAATCGAAAATTTTGGTATTTAGACATGATTTAAGAAAGTCCAATTTTTGGAGCCAAATTTAGGCCTTACTGGTCCTAAACTTTTATTTGATTTTTTTTGACACAAAGGAGGAGGTATGATAAGACCTATTATTAGGCCCCTGAAATTGCAAAAAAGTGCACTTTTACAAGCCTTTCAAAACTATATTGATTCAATTAATAAATGAACCAGTTGACATAATCTGGACACTTAAGTAAAGAAACATCACATGATGTTACTGATGTCATATAAATGACGAAATTGACATAGTTGACCTGAAATGGCCATTTCACACTCATTCTATCAATACATAAATATGAGCCACTGTCTAAACAAAAACAAGTTAACACTTTTGTAAATACATTTTGAAGTAAAATATAATTTAAGGCCTTGGCTCATATCTAAATATTACTGACAAGATCTCAAAATGAGGCTATTTTGGCAGTTTTTGCAGTTTTGCACTAAATGCAAGAAGTTTGTAGCCTGAATGGCAATATGTAAGGCAAAATTGAAAAATATAAATACTGATGTCTGACAGACTAAATTTGAGGGATGTTATTTGGTAGATTTATTATACTTTTTGATTTATAGAATGCAAGGGGCCAAATAAGTGGCATTATCACACCTTCTAGTTTAAGACATATTTATTATCTTATTCATAGGAACCATAATGATCACATGTGAATAAAATAAGTGGCTTTCAAGAGCTACATTGTATCATAACAGCATTTCCATCTCTACATTGGCAACTCCTTTCTATATTGATTGAATCAATATGTATGAAGGGGACACACTTCTGGGAAAGCCATCTTTTTAGGATGAGACACCTTAAATAGTCAGCACTGTCAACTTGTCAATAAATACAAATAATTAGAACTTAAAGAATTCATGACGAGAAATTAAATGTATTTTAAGGTGGATTGCAATTTCAAGTATGCCCACTACTGTAAATTCAGAAATTATTGCGTGCATTTATTATTGCGATTTTGGAATAATTATCACAAATGCGAGATTAATAATTGCGATTTCAGGAAAAGCTGAATACATTATATGTCTCAGATGTCAGAATGCGAATTCTTATTATTGCGATACTCGCCCAGTCGCATTAATAAAAACCTCGCAATAATTTCTGAAATTACAGTATTACTTTTATTTAATACCTCTCATAGTAGCAGCTAGCATGATTGTGTTGTTTTCAGGTGATTGTGGATTTAATCCAAAAAGCCAGATCAAATCACATATTTTATAAAAGGTATTTGCTGCTTCAGTGAAAAGCATATGGCATTTAGGAAAAAAGCAAAGACTGGTATGCTAGGTTACAGAAAAAATGTGCCCAGATGGAGTAATATGTCTTCCTGCTGTCTGTTACCTTGTGAATTGGCAATTTAAAAAAAGAAAGTTTACTTTAAAAAATCCATATACTATACAGGACAACATAGTTTATCTTCTTGTGAGTCTCATTCTCTCTTTATGTTAACATCAAATATTAATGTGGTATGGGTTTTGCTCATTGTTGAAGGTCATACGGTGATTGTATTGTAGTTTCTCAGTAATACCTGGAACCAATGGATAAAGAGACTTGAAACTAAGTCTTTTTTTTTCTCCCAAAATTTACATTTATCTTATTTTTTGTTTGATGCAGAGTAAATAAAAAGTTATAAGATAGGTGAATGATTAAAATCTATCATCTGTATTCAATTTTATCAAAGAAATGCACATTTAATATTCATGTTAACCATATGTTAACCATATGTACAAATGTATCAATAACACATGAAGACAGAGACCACCTAATGACACTGACTTATATAGATCAAATATCTATCTAATACTAATGAGGTCAAGTTATTGTGTATTGAGTGGTCTGTCATGTTATGTATAAACTCAAGTTATGCAATTTGGTCATTGTGATTGGCATTAAAGAGGAGGGGTCTATATACAATTCCAATTATTGATCCACTTTTTGTGTTTAATTGTTCTTTGATCATGACAGTTGTCAATCATACTGATATTGTATCAATACTCTTACTTAAACAAAAAGACAAAACTAGCCAGTAAATTAAAAAAAAGTAAAGACTATTATTCTTGAAAAAAATACTCTTAATTAAGATGTAACCAAATTTTTTACAGTTCATTTCTGCATATGTACACAGACATGAGAACAATTGGGAACTATGTCAGTGTGTATAGATTTAGTTACTGATTTAGTAGCAAATCTGTCTACTTTCTGTTTGGGAGACCGTTGCCTTAGGAAAGAATTGGAACAATTCCAATCTTTCCAAAAATTTACTGTAGATTTTACTTTGCAATTTCGAACTAACATTCTTGAAGCAGTACATAGTTGATTACAAAAGAAAATAAAATGCTCTGCTAGGGCACAGCTTTATACCACCATAGAGGTCGAACCCTGAACACTACACCCAAGCTTGATACAGCTCTGAATTTGGATTGTGATTAAATATTTGACACAGAATGAATGTGGTCAAAGAACTGAAAAATTTAAAATTGGACAAATCTAAGTACACAATTAGATTCAGCATATCCAAATACATCAAGAATTTAATTTATTTATTTATTGAAGGACAAAATTAGCTAAGTTTTTAAAGGGGTTCACTTCATAAATAAAAATATTTATGTATAGCATTCTGCAAATTAATTTAAACAGAATAACAAACAAACCTACCACGAAGTTCTGAAAATATTTACAAAAAAAATTATAAAAACAATTTCTCAAATATCATACATCATCAATACAATGTCTTCAAAAAATCTATAAAACTTACCTTCATTTTTCAAAATATCTTATCATGCTAATAATGAACAGTTAATTTCAAACAATATTTTTACATAATTTTATAAAAATTAAAATATGATGCTTGTATCTATTTTTAACTATGATTCTACTTTTAATTTGCATTATGATTAAATATTTGACAATTTGGATTGCGATTAGACATTTGACATAGCATAGGTTTCTGACAAAGAATGAATTTAGTCTAAGAACATAAAAATTTGAAATTGAACATACCTTTTATGGTCCAATATCCAAAATCTGAATACATGGTCAGATTCAGCATATCAAAGAACCCCAAGAATTCGTTTTTTGATGAAATAAAACAAAGTTTAATTTTGGGCCTCAATGTGAACCAATTTGACAATGGGGCCCAAAATCCAAAATCCGAATACATGGTTAGATTCAGCATATCAAAGAAATACATATATTCAATTTCTGTTGAAATCAAACAAAGTTAAATTTTGGACCCCGATTTGGACCAACTTGAAAACTGGGCCATAAAATCATAAATGTCAATACATCTTTAGATTCAGCATATCAAATAACCCCAAGAATGTAATTTTTGTTAAAATCAAACTAAGTTTAATATTGGATACTTTGGACCTTAATGTGGACCAGTTTGAAAAAACGGGCCCAAAATCCAAAATTTAAAACACTGTTAGATTGCACAAATTAAAGAACGCCAATAATTTAATTTTTGATGAAATCAAACAAAGTGTAATTTTGGACCCCAATTTGGACCAACTTTAAAAACCAAGTCCAAAATCAAAAACATAAAACACTGTTGGATTGGGCATATCAAATAACACCAATAATTCATTTTTTATGAAATCAAACAAAGTTCAATTTTGGACCCCAATTTGGACCAACTTGAATACTGTGCCCAAAATCAAAAATCTTAATACACGCTAAGATATAGCATATCAAAGAACCCCAACTATTCATTTATTTATTAAATCAAACAAAGTTTAATTTTGGACTCTTTGGACCTTAATGTGGACCAACTTGAAGACAGGCCCCAAAATTAAAAATCTAAATACATGGTTAGATTCAGCATATCGAAGAACACCAATAATTCAATTTTTGAAGAAATCAAACAAAGTTTAATTTTGGACCCTAGCTTTGAACCTTAATTTCAATTCAAAAACAGACCAAAAATCCAAATAATAAATACCCAATTAGATTCAGCATATTGAAGAACCCCAAGAATTCAAGACTTTGAATTAAACCCCATTGAAATTGCTAAAGAAATAAGCAATTTATACAAAGTATTACAAAAGAATTTTTTTTTGCCCCTTTTAACCAAACCGTTAGAGTCATAACTCCCAAAATCAATCCCAAACTTTATTTTATGGTATAAAACCTTGTGGCACAATTAAATAGCAATAAATAGACTTATATTCAAGTTATTGTCCAGAAACCAGAAAATCCTAGTTTTTTGGTCCCTTTTCGACCCCTAATTATAAATCAGTTTGGGCCATGACCTCCAAAATCAATCCCAACTTTCCTTTTGAAGTGTGGAACCTTGTGGTAAAATTTTATGGAGATCCATACTCTAATACACAAATTATTGTCCTGAAACCTAAACTTATACACACTTATATATAAAAGAGTACACATGCTGAAATGTCTCGCCTGCTTTACTGACCATTGGGTTTATGTTGATAGTCCTAAATATAAAGCTTTACTACAAGTATCTCATAAACTTAACATGATCAAAGAAAATGAGGTCAAGGTGAGATAAACCAAACCGGAAATACATGTACACCATACAATCATTCCATACACCAAATATAGTTGAACTATTGCTTTTAGTTTCTTAGAAACGAACTTACACAGGAAAATTCAACATTGACCAATGAACCATGAAAATGAGGTCAAGGTCAGATGAACCATGCCAAACAGACATGTAGACCATACAATCAGTCTATGCATTAAATACAGTTGACATATTGCTTATAGTATCTAAGAAACAAACTTAACCATGAAAACTTAACATTGACCAATAAATCATGAAAATGAGGTCAAGGTCCGTTGATACCTGCCAGACAGACAAATACAACTTACAATCATTCCATACACCAAATATAGTTGACCTATAGCTTTTCTTATAGTTTAAGAAAAACAGACCAAAAAATAAAAAACTTAACTTTAACCACTGAACCATGAAAATGAGGTCAAGGTCATATAAAACCTGCCAGTCTGATATGTACATCGTAAAATATTTCTGTACACCAAATATAGTTGACTTATTCCATATAGTATTAGATAAAAAGACCAAAACAAAATAAACTGTTAACACAGAGATATGTCTCGCCTATTTGTTATTTTGATAATGCAAATGTTGAAATTAAAATAGCGATACTTTAACATGTAAGTTATGCAAATATTCAAAGTCAATGAACCATGACTGAAGGTACAGGGCTAAACAATCTCCATGGAAATGAGATGTGCCAATGCTAATACAACTGTTTGCATACCGAATATCATTGACTTAACATTAGTGGTTCATCTTAAACTGACCTAATCACAAACTAATACATGTAAACTAAGTAAAAGTTTCAAAGTCAATAGACCATGACTGAGGGGTAAGGACCAAATATTCTCCATGGAAATGAGATGTGCTAATGCTTATACAACTGCATACCAATTACTGTGAATTCATTATTATTCGTTGGATACCAATTTTCGTGGAGTTCGTGGGTACTGGTGAACCACGAAATTAAATGTTCAACGAATAACAAATTTTCCATAGGCTTGTATGCAGACTTCGGCAAAACCACGAATTTAAATATCCACGAACATGCAAGTTTTCCTTAATCCACGAAAATTGGTACCCACGAAAATAAATGAATCCACATTATCATTGACCTGCCACTAACAGTTCCCCTTAAACTGACCTAATCACAAACTAATACATAAAAACTAAGCAAAAGTTTCAAAGTCAATAGACCATGAATGAGGGGGCGGGGCCAAATAATCTCCATGGAAATGAGATATGCCAATGCTTATACAACTGCATACCAAATATCATTGACCTACCACTAGTTGTTCCCCATAAACTGACCTAATCACAAACTAATACATGAAAACTAAGCAAAGTTTCAAAATCAATAGACCTTGACTGAGGGGGCGGGGCCAAATAATCTCCATGGTAATGAGATGTGCCAATGCTAATAAAACTGCATACCAAATATCACTGACCTACCACTAGTGGTTCCCCATGTACATCGTAAAATATTTCCGTACACCAAATATAGTTGACTTATTCCATATAGTAGTAGAAAAAAAGACCAAAACAAAATAAACTGTTAACACAGAGATATGTCTCGCCTATTTGTTATTTTGATAATGCAAATGTTGAAATTAAAATAGCAATACTTTAACATGTAAGTTATGCAAATATTCAAAGTCAATGAACCATGACTGAAGGTACAGGGCTAAACAATCTCCATGGAAATGAGATGTGCCAATGCTAATACAACTGCAAACCAAATACCATTGACTTTTCATAAGTCGTTCCCTTTAAACAAACCTAAACACAAACATCAACTTGTAAACTATGTAAAAGTTTCAAAGTCAATGAACCATAATAAGGGGGTGGGGTTATATAATCTCCATGGAAATGAAACTTGCAAATGCCAATACATTTGCATACCGAATATCATTGACTTAACATTAGTGGTTCATCTTAAACTGACCTAATCACAAACTAATACATGTAAACTAAGTAAAAGTTTCAAAGTCAATAGACCATGACTGAGGGGTAAGGACCAAATATTCTCCATGGAAATGAGATGTGCTAATGCTTATACAACTGCATACCAATTATCATTGACCTACCACTAACAGTTCCCCTTAAACTGACCTAATCACAAACTAATACATGAAAACTAAGCAAAAGTTTCAAAGTCAATAGACCATGAATGAGGGGGCGGGGCCAAATAATCTCCATGGAAATGAGATATGCCAATGCTTATACAACTGCATACCAAATATCATTGACCTACCACTAGTTGTTCCCCATAAACTGACCTAATCACAAACTAATACATGAAAACTTAGCAAAGTTTCAAAATCAATAGACCTTGACTGAGGGGGCGGGGCCAAATAATCTCCATGGTAATGAGATGTGCCAATGCTAATAAAACTGCATACCAAATATCACTGACCTACCACTAGTGGTTCCCCATAAACTGACCTAATCACAAACTAATACATGTAAACTAAGCAAAGTTTCAAAGTCAATAGACCTTGACTGAGGGGGCGGGGCCAAATAATCTCCATGGTAATGAGATGTGCCAATGCTAATTCAACTGCAGACCAAATATCACTGACCTACCATTAGTGGTTCACCATGAACTAGGACCTAATCACAAACTTATACATTGTTGACGCCGCTGCCGCTTGTCGCCATCACCGACGCCGTTAACGACGCTGGAAACAGCATACCTATGTCTCGCTTTTTGACTCTGTCAAGGCGAGACAAAAACTTAATTTTAACCACTGAACCATGAAAATGAGGTCAAGGTCAGATGACACCTGCCAGTTTGACACGTACACCTTACAATCATTCCATACCCCTAATTACTAAACAGCTACAACAATAACCAAAATAAATCCCAACCTTCCTATTGTGGTATGGAACCTTTTGCTAAAATTTAATAGAGATATATACACTTTTACTCAAGTTATTGTCTTAAAACCAGACAAATAATTGTTTTTGGCTCCTTTCTGGCCCCTAATTACAAAACAGCTACGACAATAACCCCCAAAATCAATCCCAACCCTCCTATTGTGGTATGGAACCTTGTGCTAAAATTTCATACAGATCCATACACTAATACTAAAGTTATTGTCTGCGAACGAATTTATTTCCTATGAACCAGTAAAACTGACCTTTTTCGGCCCCTAATTACAAAACCGCTGGGACAATACCCCCAAAAACCATCCCAACCATCCTTTAGTGGTAAGGAACCTTGTGCTAAAATTTCATAGTGATCCATACACTTATACTCAAGTTATTGTCTGCGAACCAAAATATCTTCAGACGCTGACGCAGACATCACCATAACATAATACAGACGCACAAAATTTTGCGGTCATATAAAAAAAACAGGGGTCCATGTGTTAGTTTTTTAGCTACAAATACAAAAGCTAGGTTTTCAAATGCTGGCCATCCCATTTCCCTTTTTTGGTGCTAAATTAAGACTTAGTGTATTCCTAATGCAGCATTGTTGTGCAGTAATTCCTACTGTACATCAAAACTCTATACAAAATACTATCAAATAAGAATTTATTGGTAATAGAAAAGTAAACATGTTTATGCCCCCCCCCCCCTCAGTACATTTCAAGTGCTTGAATATTCATAATCTTCGTTTTCCTATGCAAATACTTTCAAACCAATGTCTCCGATAAAATGACGTTATTGATTTTTCCACAAATTTTGGATGCTTTTCATTAGCAACATTGTGTTAAATTTGGATGTATCATATCATCTGCCCTTGCTACTGTATCGTATGCCCTTAATAGTAACCATTGAACTGTAAGTAATTACCTTCACAATGCAAGTACATTTGAAAACAAAGGTTTGGGAAGCAAAATACATAATATATTTAAGAGGATGAAGGGTAAACAAATAAGTTTAAAAGTATGATGTCTAAATTATTACAAATGACTTTAAAAAATAATTTGCTGAAATAGATAACAATGATGCATTAATAACGGTGGGTAAAATTGCAGCTTTGGAATATTTTGACATGTATAGGACAATCTGGGCAACAATAGGAAAACTTTGATTGCACAACAAAACAACTTACATAACTGTTCCATAATCGCTGCATGAAAAAGTATTAAAAAGATTTAAAATATAAAAAATACACTGGTAATTCAGAAATGAAAAAATTTAAATTTCATGTCTTTTTCTTCTTGAAATTCCAAAATTTATTGTCAATTTCTTTTCATTTTTACCAAAACCTTGATTAAGGAATTAATCATTAGTTTGGAATTTTTGTATTTGCTATATTCTACTAATGAATAAAATTTCTCATAAAAGCAAAGTACACTGCAAGGATTCCAAAACATTTTCACACAATTTCTGTCATTTTTTTATAGGTTGCACTTCTGTAAACATAGACAATGCAGTTTCCCATGGGAACTCCTTTTACTGCTAAAACTGTGCAACTTTTACTATGAAGTTTCATAAAAAATTAAATCCTAAAATGAAAAGTTCATATGCACTAATATTTTTTCCAAAGGTCAAAACATAGGGCTGTGTAACATATTTTCAACATTTATATGTCTTGTACTTCTAAGAGCTTAAACTTATACTAAAATTCTGTACTACCCCTCCCTTCAATTTGGGTTTTCCTCAGAATTTAATTTGGCCGCTATCCATGTGTATTTATACTGGTAAAATTTCCAAGTTGTGTCTCTATAAGATAAAACAAAGAGATCATATCTGGGAACCAGTTAGTAAACAAAAAAAAATATCTATGAATATTAAATATCTCCCCAAAAGAGGCGTGGTTTATGAAACAGCTGTATTTACAAAGTGCAACCTTTAAGGCCGTGAAAGTTGGGGTAATATTTTCCATCCTATATCTTTCATCTGTGTAAGTTTCATTCTAATCAAGCAAGGGAAAATCAATTTACCATCCAGAAACCATGGTTCATTTATTTAGAAATGGTGGCATTCACCTTTTACCTTTTGACCCAAAAATCAATAGGCTTCCTTCCCTCCCCTATATCTTTTATCTATATAAGTATCATTCCAATCAAGCCTGACTGGCAGATAGACGGATGGACAGACGGACAGGACAGACAGACTGAGCGATTACTATATGCTCCCAAAAAATATTTTTAGGGAGCCTTATTTTCAGGGAGCATAAAAAAGAACATAAAATCAGGATCCTGTAATGTTGTGGTTGTCATTGGTTGCTTAAGACCTGTCATAATTGTTTATTGTTTTGTCATAAATCAAGTCTTTGGTTTTCTAGTTTGAACTGTTTCATATTTTGTCAAGTCAGGGCCTTTCATAACAGACTATACAGTATACTTTTTGCTTATTGTTTATGACAATAAGGTGACCTATAGTTGCTTATATCCACATCATTTTGACTTGGGTGGAAAGTTGTCTCATTGGCAATCATAGCACATCTCCTTTTTTTATATTTGATGACAACACTGAGAAAATACCTATATACCAAACATCCAGATATAATTTTCTACTTCTAGACTCAGTAGATGTGATCACAAGGTGCTTTACATATTTTGGCAGATAAAAACAACCTTAAGGACATAGGACATAACTTCTATATATATGATTACCGGTAGATTAAAATGATAGTTTATCATCATTTGCACAAATATTAGAGTTGTCTCTAAAAAGACCCATGAGGTATCATGCAGGCTATATATTTAGATATACAGAAAATATCAATGAGGCATAAAGTAAGAAATAAAATAATGGTGCAATATGGTGCAATATGATCATCCAAGACTATATATAACACTACATAATCTACCAGTAACAGTCAAAACCTTCGAAAACGGTAAAATACACATTGCTATTATTCACCAAAAAAAGTCCTCTGCTTTCATATCAAAATTAATGGATAAAGTCTTCTCTCAAAATGTAACTTAATATCTGACAAATTTTCATATTTAACAATTTCAAATTGACATTAAAAAAAAAAATGCCGACGCTAGTGTGAGAGAATCATTATGAATTGTATAACCACAGTATTGTTTTTCATATCACAGCTATCTTAAGATTGTTACATTTTTCATGTATTCAACATTAAACGTGATAAAGGTGTGCAGGGTTTTATTTAAAAATAACAATCAAACAATACGAAACTAAAGAATGTATAAATGCTTCTACAATACATATATCCCATATTAATACTGTATATACAAAAAATATTTCCTTTATTTTCAAATGTTTTCATACCATGAATTATGCTTACTTAAAAGCAGAATTATGCTTACTTAAAAGAAAGTTTAAAAATATTGTAATTGATGATGCATGAATTTTTTGGTTGTATTTTTTTAGTTGATATCAGAATAAAACAGAAAGTCAGCTGTGGATGTCAAGTCCAAAGATACTGGTTGGTGGAACTGTGTGTATATAAAAGCTGTGACTAAATTGATAGACATAATCAAAATCCTGTGAACACTCACTATTAAATATGATGATCTTAACATTAGTGTGAGGGACAAAAAGTTGTTGACTTACAACCCTTTATTGCAATAAAAATAGCAGCAAAACCTAACAAATAAACAGTTAACACATAGATATGTCTCGCCTATTTGTTATTTTGATAATGCAAATGTTGAAATTAAAATAGCAATACTTTAACATGTAAGTTATGCAAATATTTAAAGTCTATGAACCATGACTGAAGGTACAGGCCTAAACAATCTCCATGGAAATGAGATGTGCCAGTGCTAATACAACTGCATACCAAATACCATTGACTTTTCATAAGTCATTCCATTTAAACAAACCTAAGCACAAACATTAACTTGTAAACTATGTAAAAGTTTCAAAGTCAATGAACCACAATGAGGGGGTGGGGTTATATAATCTCCATGGAAATGAAACTTGCAAATGCCAATACATTGACATACAAAATATCATTGACTTAATATTAGTGGTTCATCTTAAACTGACCTAATCACAAACTAATACATGTAAACTAAGCAAAAGTTTCAAAGTCAATAGAACATGACTGAGGGGGTAAGGACCAAATATTCTCCATGGAAATGAGATGTGCTAATGCTTATACAAATGCATACCAATTATCATTGACTTACCACAAACGGTTCCCCTTAAACTGACCTAATCACAAACTAATACATGAAAACTAAGCAAAAGTTTCAGTCAATACACCATGACTGAGGGGGCTGGGCCATAATAATCTTCATGGAAATAAGATATGCAAATGCTTATACAACTGCATACCAAATATCATTGACCTACCACTAGTGGTTACCCATAAACTGACCTAATCACAAACTAATACATGTAAACTAAGCAAAGTTTCAAATAATCTCCATGGTAATGAGATGTGCCAATGCTAATACAACTGCATACCAAATATCATTGACCTACCACTAGTGGTTCACCATAAACTAGACCTAATCACAAACTAATACATTGTTGACACCACCGCCGACACCGGAAACAGCATACCTATTTCTCGCTTTTTGACTCCATCAAGGTAAGTCAAAAATGCAAATTATTGACAGCTAATCACCTCAAGACAATACAAAATTTCTTTATACATAATTTCAAAGCAGTGTAAGGGAGGTAATCCAATTTTCACATTGTACTTAAAAGTGATTGTCCATTAACAAGGAAACCCTTGTTTTTTCCCCCTTTTTGCCCCTAATTCCTAAACGATATGAGCCATTACCCCCCAAAGCCAATCCTAACCATCCCTTTGTGGTATGGAAACTTGTTGTACAATTTCAGAGAGATCCATACACCGTTCCACAAGTTATTGTCTGAAAACTAGAATAAACAGCTGCGCCATGAGCAAATGATACGCCCGTCGTCCTGTGTGTGAATTTTTATGCAATAATCATAAATGGTTTCTGACATACGGCGCGACATGCGAAAACCTCCCTTTTTTTTTACAAAAAACTCAATATCTCTAAAATAAAATTTTGAATCAAAACCAAAAAGTATACAGATCTTAAGATTAATATAACTAAGAAGTGTGTAAAATTTTAAGCAATAATCACAAATCGTTTTTGAGATAAGGCGCGACATGTGAAAAGTATACAGATCGTTTGACCATCATAAGAAACAACTATGTTAAGTTTCATGAAATTTGGATAAGTCGTTCTCAAGTTACGGTGCGACATGTTTACGCCGGACAGACAGACGGACAGACGGACAGACAGACAGACGAACAGACGGACAGACGACATTTGTATACCATAATACGTCCCGTCAAAAAGATTTCTATTTACTAATACTAAAGTTATTGTCCGGAAACCAAGTTTCTTGGGACGACGAAGACGATGACGACGACGTGATACCAATATACGACCACAAAAATTTTTTGCAGTCGTATAAAAATATAAATTTATAAATTTTAACAAAAAACTTAGATTTTCTCAAACAAATTGACAAATCAATTCTATCTTAAATCTCCTACAATTTATTCATATTTGCAGTAATAATACAGGAAATAATTGGAATCTTGTCATTACTCAACATGCTCAAGTAAGAGTGAAAGATAGCTAGATGGATAACAAGGCAAAAAGTTTCAATTTTTCAATTTGGCCTTAAATCAAATATTTTAACACACCTGTTAAAGTGTAATAAAAGGTCATGGTCATGAGAGGCATAGTAAGAAAGCACTAGCAAACTGAAAAAAAAACTAAAAATACAAATGAACATGCAAAAAGGTATGGTGTGCAAATTGTGTCAATTTCCATATTATGCATACACTAAAGAAATAATACTGAAATTAAGCAATAATTAGTTGTTTACATAACAAAAAACTAAATTATTCCTAAATTGTTCAATGATGAGGTGTTCATAACAAGCATATTCTAATGCAATAGCTAATAATGACATTTAATGCACACCATACATAAGAAGTCTTACCTCTTCCTTGATCTGATGGGTGTCAAAAGACAGATTAGTCAAGTGCATATATGAACATTGTTTTACATTTGTCATTTCGAGGCCTTTTAAAGCTGACTATGCTGTATGAGTTTTGCTCATTGTGAAGGTCGTACTGTGACCTATAGTTGTTAATTTCTGTGTCATTTTGTCTCTTTTGGATAATTGTCTCATTGGCAATCATACCACATCTTCTTATTTTTATATACAGGTCTTAACCAAAAATGTTTGTCTTCTAAATTTCATTTCATGTACATGCAAGTTTTGAAATGTACTTTCTCATATGAGTTGCATTTTTGATTTGTTGCAAAAAAGGGATTTTCTGAAAAAATTGGCCTACAACATTTTTAATAATAACCATACACTGTTCAATTGTGGTTGCTTAAACAGGAGAAATACCAATAAATTGTATTTTCACAAATGAATTCCAATAAAGATTGTTGTAACTCCTATATTGCCCTTCACATAAAATTACCCTTACATATATCTATTGTCTTTTGGTTACTTTAATAAAGTAACAGTTTGCATTACTTGAACAATGTATTTCTATCATGTAAAACAACTAGAAAACTAGAAGAGCCTGTATCGCTCACCTGGACCATAGGAAATGTCAACAAGGACAACTGTCCAATCCTATTAAACCCTAAGTTCAGGAGCAATTTAAGCCCAGCTGTTTACATCATTTTTCAGAAAATTTACTTATTTGAAAATGATCAGAATTACTTTTAGCTATGATGGGAGTTTCTCTTTTTTGTTGAACTTGTATTGCTGATCATTTTTCCTGTTTACAGTTTCTCTCTATCTTCTATACTTTTTGCCCAAAACACAAAAAAGCGTGATAATAGTCAATTAAGGGCAATAATTCCAAAAAGAAAAACTGACAAATTCATCTACATGTATGCTGACCTTTTTGCAGATCTTGTCTTGTTTATTTTTAAAGTTTCTATCTATCTATTATAGTTTTCAAGGAAATTTGCTTAAAAATGGTCATTTAAGGACACTAACTCATACAAAAAGTTGACCAACCATTTCGACAATATCAACTAATTTGTAGATCTTGCATTGTGGATCATTTTTGCTCCCTAAAATTCTCTCTATCTATTATAGTTTATAAATTAAAGAACATTTGAGAGCACACTCATAAACCACACGCCCCCACATTGTCAGTGGGCAAACAAAATCTCACAATATTCCTAAGTTCAAAGACTCATAACTCCTCCAAAAATCAACTGATAATAATTTCTTGTGGATATGCATATCTACATAAGTATTATGTCCTTATTATCTACAAAGATTCAGGAAATTCTGTTGTGTGGTTACAGAGGAGTTGCGATGACAAACTGTTGCAGAAGTATATTTAAGCCGAAATTTTAAGTTCAAAAGGGCATAACTTCTAGAAAAGTCAACTGATATTAATTTTTTGTGGATATGCACATCTACATATTATGTCCTTATTATTTACAAAGTTTGATGAAATTCTGTTATGTGGTTTCAGAGGAGTTGCAATGACAAACTGTTGCAGTACTATGTTTAGGCCAAAATTCGGAGTTCAAAGGGGCATAACTCCTAGAAAAAAATAGAATCATAATTTCCTGTCAATATACACATCTACATAGTATGTCCTTTAATATTATCTACAAAGTTTCAGCAAATTCTGTCGTGTGGTTTTAGAGGAGTTGTGATGATAAACTGTTGCAGTAGTATATTTAGGCTAAAATTCTAAGTTCAAAAGGGCATGACTCCTAGAAAAATGAACTGTTATCACAGAGATAAGTCTCGCCTTTTTGTAATTTGATAATGCAAATGTTGAAATTAAAATAGCAATACTTTAACATGTAAGTCATGCAAATATTCAAAGTCAATGAACCATGACTGAAGGTACATGGCTAAACAATATCCATGATGTGCCAATGCTAATACAACTGCATACCAAATACCGTTGACTTATTATAAGTCGTTCCCTTTAAACAAACCTAAAAACAAACATTAACTTGTAAACTATGTAAAAGTTTCAAAGTCAATGAACCATGATGAGGGGGCGGGGTTATATAATCTCCATGGAAAATATACTTGCACATGCCAATAAATTTGCATACCAAATATCATTGACTTAACATTACCAGTTCATCTTAAACTGATCTAATCACAAACTAATCCATGTAAACTAAGCAAAAGTTTCAAAGTCAATAGACCATGACTGAGGGGGCGGGACCAAATATTCTCCATGGAAATGAGATGTGCTAATGCTTATACAACTGAATACCAATTAACATTGGCCTATCACTAATGGTTCCCCTTGAACTGACCTAATCACAAACTAATACATGTAACCTAAGCAAAATTTTAAAAGTCAATAAAACATGACTAAGGGGGTGGAGCCAAATAATCTTCATGGAAATGAGATATGCCAATGCTTATACAACTGCATACCAAATATCATTGACCTACCACTAGTGGTTCCCCATAAACTGACCTAATCACAAACTAATACATGTAAACTAAGCAAAAGTTTCAAAGTCAATAGACCATGACTGAGGAGGCAGGGCCAAATAATCTCCATGGAAATGAGATGTGCCAATGCTAATACAACTGCATACCAAATATCATTAACCTACCACTTGTGGTTCACCATAAACTAGACCTAATCACAAACTAATACATTGTTGACGCTGCCGACACTGGAAACAGCATACCTATGTCTCGCTTTTTGACTCTGTCAAGGCGAGACAAAAATTGAATCATAATTTCCTGTCGATATGCACATCTACATAGTATGTCCTTATTATCTACAAAGTTTCAGGAAATTCTGTTGTGTGGATTCAGAGGAGTTTTGATGACAAGAACAGGACTGACGGACAGACTGACGGACTGACGGACAGACTGATGGATTGACGGACGGACTGACAGACGGACTGACGGACGGATTGGTAAAAAAACATTATACCCTACAGAACTTTGTTCCGTGGGGGTATTATAACAGGCAAAAATCATCATTTAAGGGCAAAAACTCCTACAAAGAGTCAACTTCTGCAATATGACTTATTTGTAGATCTTGTCTTACCTATCATTTTTGTTTTTTAAAGTTTCTATCTTTCTATTATAATTTTCACGATAATAGGCAAAAATGCAAATAAAATGCTTCACTGAGCGCAGCCTGATACTACCACAGAGGTCAAACCCTGAACAGTTGGGGCAAGTTTGGACACAATATTCAAGCTTGATACTGTCTGAATTTGGATTGTGATCAAATTTTTGACATAATATAGGTTTTTGACACAAAATAAATGTGGTCAAAAATCTTAAAAATTTGAAATGGAACATTTAATTTACCTAGTATGGTCTGATATCCAAAATCTAACAACATGGTTAGATTCAGCATATAATAAAATGCTCCACTGGGGCGCAGCTTGATACGACCGCAGAGGTCAAACCCTGAACAGTTGGGGCAAGTATGGACACAACATTCAAGCTTGATACAGCACTGAATTTGGATTGTAATTAAATATTTGACACAGCATAGGTTTCTGACACAGAATGAATGTGGTCTAAGAACTTAAAATTTTTAATTTACCAATTCAAACCATATTATTATTATTTGCTTGTATATATAAATCAAAAATAACCAATTTAAAATAGAAAATTTTTTAAGAAAAAAAAGGTAAAAAAAATCCCCCCCCCCCCCCCAAATTTTTGGAACCCCCTTATGATTCATCACCCCCAAACTCAATCCCAGGCTTCCCTTTGTGGTATGGTACCTTGCAGTACAATTTCAGAGAGATCCATACACTTGAACACAAGTTATTGTCTGGAAACTAGAAAAATGCTTGTTTTTTGGCCCCTTTTTGGCCCGAAATTCCAAAACATTAAGGACAATTACCCCCAAACTCAAACCCAGCCTTCCCTTTGTGATATGGAACCTTGCAGAACAATTTCATAAAGATCCATACACTTACACACAAGTTATTGTCCTGAAACTAGAAAAAATGCTTGTTTTTTTGCCCCTTTATGGCCCCTAATTCCTAAAATTTTGAGGGAATTACCCCCAAAATCAATCCCAGCCTTCCCTTTGTGGTATGGTACCTTGCAGTACAATTTCAGAGAGATCCATACACTTGAACACAAGTTATTGTCTGGAAACTAGAAAAATGCTTATTTTTGGCCCCTTTTTGGCCCCTTATTCCTAAACGTTTTGGGCAATTACCCCCAAACTCAATTCCAGCTTTCCCTTTGTGATATGGAACCTTGTAGTACAATTTCAGAAAGATCAATACACTTACACACAAGTTATTGTCATGAAACTAGAAGAATGCTTGTTTTTTGCCCCTTTTTTTGCCCCTAATTCCTAAAATTTTAAGACAATTACCCCCAAAATCAATCCCAGCATTCCCTTTGTGATATGGAACCTTGTGGTACAATGTCAGAGAGATCCATACACTAACACACAAGTTTTGTCTGGAAGTTACAAAAAAGCTTATTTTTGGCCCCTTTTTGGCCCCTAATTCCTTAACTGTTGGTATTATAACCCCCAAAATCAATCCCAACCTTCCTTTTTGTGGTATTGAACCTTACGGTAAAATTTCATAGAGATCCATTCACTTAAACTAAAGTTAGAGTGCGAAAACCAATGTGTCTTCGGACAATGACGACGACATCGACGCCGGCACCATCGACGACGACATCAACGTCATACCAATATACGACTGCAAAAATTTTTGGCAGTCGTATAAAAATTATGAAAAAAAAATCCCCCGAAAAAATTTTTTTTGGAAAAAATTTGAAACTTTGAAAAATCTTAAAGAAAAGAAGTATGAACCTCCCCCCCAAAAAAATTGAACAATCATCCTGCCCACCAAATTTTTTTTGAAATTTTGAAGATTATTTTTTTTAGGAAAAATGTACAATTTCAGAGAGTTCCATTAACTTTAACACAAGTTATTGTCTGGAAACTAGAAAAATGTTTGTTTTTGGCCCCTTTTTTGCCCCTAATTTCTAAACGTTTGAGGCAATTACCCCTCAAACTCAATCCCAGACTTCCCTTTGGTGTATGGAACCTTGTAGTACAATTTCAGAGAGATCCATACACTTAAACACAAGTTATTGTCCTGAAACTAGAAAAAATGCTTGTTTTTTTGCCCCTTTATGGCCCCTAATTCCTAAAATTTTGAGGGAATTACCCCCAAAATCAATCCCAGCCTTCCCTTTGTGATATGAAACCTTGTGGTACAATTTCAGAGAGATCCATACACTTACACACAATCCCAACCTTTCTTTTGTGGTATTGAATCTTCTGGTAAAATTTCATAGAGATCCATTCACTTAAACTAAAGTTTTTGTCCGGAAACCAAATGTGTCTTTGGACGACGACCACATGATAGCAATATACGAACGCAAATTTTTTGCGGTCATATAAAAATGGTAAAAATCGTCATTAAAGGGAAATGACTCCAATAAGGAGCAAACTGACGATTTTTGCCATGAGATTTATTTGAAGATCTTATCTTGCTGATCATTTTTGCAATATAAAGTTTATGTCTATCTATCATTGTTTTCAAGATAATAGGCAAAAAGGAAAAAAAAATGTATAATTTGTCATTTCAAGGCAATAACTCCTGCAAGAATTTGATTGACAGTTTTGATGTAAATAAACAGAAGGTCTCATCATTCTTAAGATTTTTGCCTCGTCAGATTTTCTCTACCTATAGTGATTTTTAAGATAATGGACAAAACTTACATTTTACCCCTATGTTCTACTTTAAGCCATGTTGGCCATGTTGGTAGGTAGGCAGGGTCATCAGTCATTTTTTTAAACTAAATACCCCAATGATGACTGGTCAAGTTTGGTTAGATTTGGAACAGTAGTTTCAGAGGAGATGATCTTCTTAAAATTAAATGGACGACAGACCAAGACGGACCATGACAACAGACGAGGGACCCCAAGTGGTAGCAAAAGCTCAAACTAGCCATTTTGGCCAGGTAAGCTAATAAACAGCTGTGCCATGAGCGCATGATATGCCCGTCGCATTTTCAAAGAATAAAGTTCAATCACTTCTCAATGTCATATCAGAAATTTATGAAAATCGATAGGGAGCTTTTGTCAATAGATTTAAACAATTCACCAAAGTTTCATGAGAACTGCTGAAAGCATTTTTGAGGTATTGTCCGAAAACTGGAAAATCCCCCCTTCTTTAATGAATAAAACACCATAACTCGGAAACGTAAAATCTAAAATTTATAAAATTCGAAAGGGAGCTAACATCAATAGATATAAACAATTCACCAAAGTTTCATGAGAACTGCTAAACGCATTTTGGAGTTATTGTCCGAAAACTGTAAACTGCCCCTTTTTTTTAATGAATAAAACCCCATAACTCAGAAACGTAAAATCTAAAATTTATGAAAAAGGAAAGGGAGCTCATGTCACTAGATATAAACAATTCACCAAAATTTCTTGCAAATTGGTGAAAGCATTTTGGAGTTATTGTCCGAAAACTGGAAAATCCCCCTTTTTTTAATGAATAAAACCTCATAACTCGGAAACATAAAATCTGAAATTTATAAAAAACAAAAGGGAGCTCACGTCAATAGATATAAACAATTCACCAAAGTTTTATGCAAATTGGTTAAAGCGTTTTTTAGTTAATGTCCGACATGTTGATGACGGACGGACAACGGTATACCATAATACGTCCCGTAAACGGGCGTATAAAAATAAGGTGATGAGACAACTATCCACCAGAGACCAAAGTATAAAGATGTAATTCTCTATCAGGTTCAATGGAAACCTATGTGACATCAGTTACCAAATTCATCTTGCACCAATTAAAATTTTAAACTTTGTAAAGGATCTCCCCATTATGAGTTACAAGTTTCAAAGGAAGAATAAATTTGAAATTCATAAATTAGAATCAATAATTGCCTCTACAGATAAATTACTTTTAGTCTCTGAGAAACTAACCTTATTATGATGCTTAGCATTGATAAATGAATCATGAAATGAGATAGAGCATACACATCTTAGAAAGATTAAATGTAACATATATAATTAACTACTCATATTGCCATAAAAAACCTACTAATACAGTTATCAAACCATGAAAATGAGTTAAGGACAAAAAACATTTATAGGTAAGAGATTGCTGTCCCTTGCAGTGCATCTTCGTTTACTCCCCAATTTTTTTGGGGTTCATGTTGCTCAATGTTTAGTTTTCTATGTAATGACAGTACTGGTAGTTTGTCTTTTCCTCCTTTTTTTTGTAACCATGGTGTTGTCTGTCTTTCTTTGCTGTATGGGTTTGGAATGCATCCTTGATATCTTTGTATTTTTTCAAACAATAAGAAATCTGTTTGCAAGATATGGATTATCCAGCTCATTTACCCTTTGAAATCTGAAGATGAGATGGTTGTTGGTGGTATATGTGGCCAATATTTTTGGTAATTCCTGTTATCCGTTTAATGTACTTTGAATTTATTATTATTCGTGGGATGCCAATTTTCATGGATTTCATGATATAAGCGAACCACAAATCTAAAATGTTCAACAAAGTACAAACTTTCTATACGCTAATATCCAAACCGGAAAAATCAAATATCCATGAAAAAACAATTTTTCCTCAATCCATGAAAATAAATGGTCCACCGTATACTTTATAAACAAAATGTTTACACTGTGATTCATCCCTTACCTGATCACCATCTCTATTCCTCACATTATGTCATTTTTGCAGTCAATACAAAAATCAATTTATGCAAACTTCTTCTTAGTTAAAGCAGATTTAACATTATCATGTGTTAATTAAATCATATAATTAATTTAATGAAAATGTAAATGTAAAAATACCCTCTAAAGATTTAGTGTTACATGCCCCTCAATTAGTGTCACACTTGATATAACATTATAGTGTGTTTATAATCCATCAAACAATAAATCAATTGGTGTACCTACCCTGTCGTCATGGGAACTAAGTAACATATCCAACCACTGATAGATATACCCATCATCATTGAGGCCATTAGTGTCAAATACAGGACCACAGCATAGAACAGCAGACATGGCTCTAACAGCTGATAGTTCTAATTCTGTACAACTTTCGTCTTTAGCAGGCCTAGAAAACAATCAAATGTGAAAAATATATCAAATAAAAAACCTACATAAAGATCAGAGATAGGTGATTATAACTGACACAACACTTGTCATCATAAAGATCAGAAATAAAAAAATTATCAATGCTGATTTTTTAACTTGTCAGAGACATTGCTGATATAAATTTCATAAAAATCTGTCAAGAAACATAGGCATGATAGTACTTACAAGACCCTACAGGTGGTTGTTCTGCATTTCTATGTCCCCTGCACTACTTTGCAGCAGAGAATTAATGATAAACTACCTGGTTTTTACTCACATTGCCAGACAGGGGTGTAGATTATACAGTGCTACAAGCAATAGGGCACTTTAAGTTGAAATATTATTTGAAATTTTAGAATCATTTAAATTATTTGTCTAATTATAAAAAAAATCTAGTGTTTACTGAAAAATATCAAAATGTAATGCTTCAGTACAAATTTCTTCTTTCTTCTAGAAACATTAAAAAAAATGTGGATAGTGTCCACATGTGGACACAGATGATGCCCCCACTTGCATATCATATAGTTATAAAGGGACATAACTGAGGAACAGTAAAAGTGACGCTACCCAAATTTGAACTTGATCTGAGTTTTGTGTGTAAGTCTCATAACATTTGGTTGAGGCTAACTTAAGTAGAGAACAGAAACTAAAAATTCAGCAATTTTTCTATTTATAAAGGGGCATAACTCAATAATGGTTAAAGTGACACTACCCAAATTCAACTTGATCTGTGTTTTATCAGTGGAAGTCAAAATTAAACATTGCATTGTATAAAGCATTGATTGTAGTTGATTCAACTATAATCATGGACAAAGGAAGATAACTCCAATTTTAAAAATAACTTGATATTTAGAAGAAAATAAAAATTTTGCAATTTTTTCCATTTATAAAGGGGCATAACTCTAGAATGGTTAAAGTGACGCCACCAAAATTCAAACTTGATCTGTGTTTTATGGTAATAAGCATTGTGTATATGTTTCATAACATTTGGTTGAGGCAAACTTAAGTAAGAGAACAGAAACTAAAAATTTTACAATTTTTCCATTTATAAAGGGGCATAACTCTAGAACGGTTAAAGTGACACCACCAAAATTCAAACTTGATCTGTGTTTTGTGGTAATAAGCCTTGTGTATAAGTTTCATAACATTTGGTTGAGGCAAACTTAAGTTACAGAACGGAAACTAAAAATTTTGAAATTTTTCCATTTATAAAGGGGCATAACTCTAGAACGGTTAAAGTGACGCCACCAAAATTCAAACTTGATCTGTGTTTTGTGGTAATAAGCATTGTGTATAAGTTTCATAACATTTGGTTGAGGCAAACTCAAGTTAGAGAATGGAAACCAATTTTGGGACGTACAGACGGACGTACGTACGTAAGTACAGACGGACAAGGGTAAAACTTAATGCCCCCACCGCTACGGCGGGGGCATAAATATCTTCCAATCTGCCTAACAATGTATAAAGACAGGAAGGTAATCCCTTATTTTTTTAGATTTGGTGTTTCATACTGCTGATAATGTTTTCTTTTAGCTAAAAGACCTTTAATTATTATAAAATGTTGAATATATAAAACATTATTTTCCATATATACAGCACTATTTTACTTTATGAGTTGTATTCATATGCAATATCTATAAATACTGGATTTCTGAATACTGGCACAGCCAAAAAAAGATTATCCATAAATTTACATTATCCCCTAAATATGAGGAAACTTCCAACTCCAATTAGCAAAGATATGGAACAGACTGTATCACATATCTCAGATTTTTTTCTTGGGACTTAAAGGTAAACTTACCGCCTATCTATAGTATCCCCAATAGTATGGCTGAACTTCCCACTCCAATTAGCAAAGAGATGGAACAGACTGTATCACATATCTCAGATTTTTTTCTTGGGACTTAAAGGTAAACTTACCGCCTATCTATAGTATCCCCAATAGTATGGCTGAACTTCCCACTCCAATTAGCAAAGAGATGGAACAGACTGTATCTCAAATCTCTGGTTAGTAAACTTCTCTTGTATTCCACTAAAATTAAAATGAGGTATATTTATCCCCTCAAACAGGTTGTGATGGACTGGTGTTTAACATCAAGTAGCAAATATTATCATACATATCAGATATGATTATGAATCCTACTTTGTATTAGACTGACTCACTCAGTGGATTTTCAATATTTTAATATTATTCAGTGGTTGTCATAAGTTGCTGTATAAAAAACTTGTTTTTTTTTCATTTATTGTATTGTCAATCTACTTTATTTGGACTTTAGTGGAATGTTAACTAATTGGCAATCATACCACATCTCCTTATTTTTTATATTTCGGTAGGTAACAGTTAGCAGGAAAACATGTTTCTCTACTTGGACACATTATTCTGATACAATGCCTACCAGTCTTTGCTTCTACTATTAAATAATGTTTGCTTAGTGGAGTAGCAGTAAAAGTTCAAGATTTGGTTTCACCCAGCCAGGGATAGAAACCCACGACCTCCAGCACTTAAGGTAAAAGGCTACCATGATACCACTAAGATGGTTCCAACATGATGTGATCAAGTTATTTAATATGGCTACCATGAGACCACTAAGATGGTTCCAACATGATGTGATCAAGGCATTTAATAAGGCTACATGAGACCACTAAGATTCAAGTCGTTTGATATGGCTATCATGATACCACTAAGAGGGTTCCAACATGATGTGATCAAGTGATTTAATATGGCTACCATGATACCACTAAGAGTCAAGTCATTTAATATGGCTACCATGAGACCACTAAGAGTCAAGTCATTTAATATGGCTAACATGATACCACTAAGAGACAAGTCATTTAATATGGCTAACATGATACCACTAAGAGTCAAGTCATTTAATATGGCTACCATAATACCACTAAGACGGTTCCATCTGTGATCAAGTCATTTAATATGGCTACCATGATACCACTAAGCGGGTTCCAACATGATGTGATCAAGTCATTTAATATGACTACCATGATACCACTAAAAGTCAAGTCATTTAATATGGCTACCATGATACCACTAAGAGTCAAGTCATTTAATATGGCTACCATGATACCACTAAGAGTCAGGTCATTTAATATGGCTACCATGATAACACTAAGAGTCAAGTCATTTAATATGGCTACCATGATACCACTAAGAGTCAAGTCATTTAATACGGCTACCATGATACCACTAAGAGGGTTCAAACATGATGTGATCAAGTCATTTAATATGGCTACCATAATACCACTAAGAGGGTTCCAATATGATGTGATCAAGTCATTTAAATTTAATATGGCTACCATGATACCACTAAGAGTCAAGTCATTTAATATGGCTACCATGATACCACTAAGAGGGTTCAAACATGATGTGATCAAGTCATTTAATATGGCTACCATAATACCACTAAGAGGGTTCCAATATGATGTGATCAAGTCATTTAAATTTAATATGGCTACCATGATACCACTAAGAGGGTTCAAACATGATGTGATCAAGTCATTTGATATGCCTACTATGATACCACTAAGAGTCAAGTAATTTGATATGCCTACTATGATACCACTAAGAGTCCAGTCATTTAATATGGCTACCATAATACCACTAAGAGGGTTCCAACATGATGTGATCAAGTTATTTAATATGGGTACCATGATACCACTACTGAAGATGGTTCCAACATAATGTGATCAAGTCATTTAATATGGCTACCATGATACCAATAAGATGATTACGGGTACAACATGATGTGATCAAGTCATTCAATAAAGTTGGTCACCAGGTACAAAAAGGGTAAATTTTGACAATTTTATGTCCTGTTTCTTGACCTGGAAGACCGAGGGATGCTGATAGATGTGTCTCACTGTAGTCTGCATGTAGAGTGGACTCCAGTGAACACACTGACCCCAAAAGTACAGAGTTTGTAGTGAACCTGATCTAAGTATGGTAGTCTAAAGATGGTAATTTCCACCAAAAATACAGAACTTTTCCAATTTTTCCCGATTTTTGGCTTCACCTGGACCTGCAACCTTAGCGTATTACCATAATAAACACAAACAGTAGTTATATGCCTGGGATTTGGCACAATTTTTTGAAGTTTTAGGCCTCTGTACTGTGTGTCCCAGACACTGAAGGAAAGCCTACCCCGCCAGAAAAACCAGTTTTATCAGATTTCAATTTACGAGGTTAGTATTTGGGTTCAAACTGCACCTTAAACCTGAGAAACATGACAATACATAGCCTTAGGTTGAGGGAATATGCACAAATGCATGAAATACATAACATAAAGTTGACCTCTAAAAGTATGGAGAGCCATTGGAGCCAAAAAACTTATTTTGGGTGGAGGCTGTAATGTTACGGCCCCTGCATGGTAAGGGTTAAGTAATAAAGACAACAAGCATTCTGTGAGTATTGCATGGCAATACATAGTCCCCTACCGGTTAAAAATTCATTGTAATGGAGCAAACCTACCACTAAATTCTTCAAACAATTTACTAAAGAAAAGGAAAAAAATCCAAAATGTCATTTATCTTAATACAATGTCTTTTACAAATCTTTAAAAAAAAAAAATGAGTTATTTCCCTTTGAACAGAAATCTAGTAATTAATAAGTATTTCATCAAAAATTTAATTCTAGGGAAAGTTAAAAAATGAGTTAATTCCCTTGGAATAGAAATCTAGTAATTAATAAGTATTTCATCAAAAATTTAATTCTAGGGAAAGGGCTTTAACTGAACAAGGAGAAAAGCTAAAATCGTGAAAATCGAACTTGACCTGTAACTTGTCATGATAAAACACTACACCAAATATCAAATCAATATCTTCAAGCATGAAGAAAAAAAGTCTGGAAAACTGTTTTGCCGGACTGACGGATGGACAGACGGACAGATGGACAGACAGACGGACAGAGTGCAAACCTAAAGTCCCCTTCGACTTCGTTGGTAGGGGACTAATAATCACACCCTTTCCTTTAAATTCTTTGAAATGTGTCTTACTTTCCAATAAAAGTGACTTAAATGCATAAAGAAGTCTTTCATGGTTATCATCTATTTACAAATTTTATGTCCTGGTAAGCATATTATCAGAAATCCCATTGCACTTTTGCAGAACTTGTGGTTAATTTTGGTAAAACTGTCTATTTGTATTTGTTCGTTCAGTTTATGCTTTTAGTTTAATTTCAAACACAAATGTAAATGATTAAAAATCTGAGCGGGGGAGTTATTGAAGGACAACAAGATACATGCAAACAATTGCTTGTTCAACAAGGATAGCAAATAGTCCCTTGTGAGCGTGGGTCCTTATGAAGTGAGTATAAAATAACAAGATATATAAGCAAAAGATGTGGATGGAACATAACAATACAAACACAAGTAAAACATAAAAGAGTTTGATGTGTTCTGTAGTTTTTTTATAGGCCTTCACCAACTTTGTGAGCGTTTCAGACCTAATCCCTAAGGTGGCGTGTTGGATTTGACCATTGGAGCCACACAATATCCAATCGACAGAATAGATTCTGTGTTTTATAAAACCAATCATATTCTACCCCACCTTATTTGATGGAAATAGTCTGATGAGAATCTGTATAAATAATTCCGTGTATAACGTAATTGGAATTCTGCATTTTATATATATAAAATAAAAATTCTGTATATACATAATTAAAATTCTGTATATGCGTAATTAAAATTCTGTATGAAAAATTATTCTGTAATTGCGCATGTACAGATTTGTTAAGTAATAATTCCGTATATACGGAATTCAAAGTCTTTACATACGGAAATAGTTCTGTATATACGTTTTTTTTAATTCTGCAATTACATAAACGATTTCCGTAAATACGAAAAAGGCGAAAAAATAAATAAATGAATAATATACTTCTATACACAAATTTAAATTACCCATATACAGAATTCGGATTACAGTATATATATATATATATATATATATATAGAATTCAATATAAACATAATTCTATATACCTATTTAATATATACAGAATAATTTCTGTACATCTGTAAATACATATACGTTATGATACAGACAGACATATTTGTTTTACCCTGATACCACGCAATAAGTATTTCTTAGCGTCAGATTGATGGGTTGTTGGATTGGTGGGTTGTCAGACCAATAGGCTGTCAGAAAAATGGGCTGTCGGAACAATGGGGGTTAGAATAATGAGCTGTCGGAATAATGGTGTGTAACCAAATAATAAGCCAGATAATTACATGTCATAGATATGTGTTCGTGTTTTACGTATAGCTAGTGCTTATTGTCAAATTTGGTAACAATCCGGTAATTTTGGATTTTAAACTAATAAAAAATTTCATAATAAAAAAACTCACAGGTTATCTTACATGAGGCCTCTGTGAACAAGTTATCTTACAGGTTATATCTGTAAACTGGTTATTTTACAAGAGGCCTCTATAAACAGGTTATCTTACTTGGAGTATTAGATATAAGCTGTCTAATGAATCTGCTGAAATGAAGACGAATGTCCTGCAATACTGGGAGATCCTTGTCACTCTCACTCTCTAAATACTGACGAGCTCCATCAATGTACTCTACAAATGTCTTGTTTAGTGAATTCTCTCCCTTCTCAATCACAGAATCACTGAATAAATAAAATCAATGTTATACATCTGATGAAAAATACATTAAACATTAGTTAAAACATCTGGGCCTTTAGAAGTAATAGCTTTATGATGTAGGTTTTTACAAAATTTACTTCTGGATACTATCTTATGATCATAAATAAGCTTCTGTCCAAGTTTGGTAGAAATCCAGTATAGTTTAAGAAAGTTATTAAAATTTTCAAAAACTTTAACCACAGAGTGAATATTTGTGGACGCCGCCTACGACGACGGAATGTAGGATCGCTATGTCTCGCTTTTGCAACAAAATTCGCAGGCTCGACAAAAACCTAATAAATTCATGAAAACGGCATGATTAAACAAACAGCAAGGGCAGCAAAATAAATGTTTAAAAGGGCAAAGGACATCAAGAACAAGAGGCTCCTCATTTGCTCACCTATCAAAAATTGAAATAATAGGCATCAATTCAAAAGATAGTAAACAAGAGGCTGTCAGAGTGACAGCAATCCGGATTTTCCTGCAGAGGTCGAACCCTGAACAGTTGAGCAAGTATGGACACTACATTTAAGCTTGAAACAGCTCTGAATTTGGATTGTGATTGAATATTTGACACAGCATAGATTTGTGACACAAAATGAATGTGGTCAAAGAATTGAAATATTTGAAATTGGACATTTACATACCTATTATGGTCCAATATCCAAAATCTAAGTACATATTAGAATCAGCTTATCAAAGAACCACAAGAATTCAATTTTTGATGAAATCAGACAAAAGTTTAATCTAGGACCCTTTGGACCTCAATGTGGACCAATTTGATTAAGGAGCCCACAATCCAAAATCTCTCAATACATGGTTAGATTCAGAATTTCAAAGAACCCCATAAATTCAATTTTTGTTGAATCAAACAAAGTTTAATTTTGGACCCTGATTTGGACCAACTTGAAAACTGGGCCAAAAAATCTAATATTTAAATACAGGTTTAGATTCAGCATTTGAAAGAACCCTATATATATTTAATTTATGTTGAAATGAAACATAGGTTACTTTTATCCATAATATTTTCTGTGCAAAGGGAAATAACTCAAACTGGATAAATAGTTCTCTAAAATAAGATATGATGCAATTTTTCAAATTATAATCAATAATATAATAACAACAACCAGTGATGACTAAGTTCTCTAAAATTAGATATGAATTAACACTCAACCATTGTTAGAATCAGCATATCAAAGAACCAAAGAATTAAATTTTTGATGAAATCAAACAAAAGTTTAATTTAGGACCCTTTGGACCTCAATGTGGTATTATCTTATTAATAATAAAAAGAAATGCAGGTTTAGATTAAGCATTTCAAAGAACCCTATATATATTCAATTTATGTTGAAATCAAACACAGTTTAATTTTGGACCCCGATTTGGACCAACTTGAAAACTGGGCCCAAAATCAGAAATCTAAATATATGTTTATTAATAGACAATATAAACTTAGTTTTTAAAGGAGTTCTCTTCATCAAAAAAAAAAATATAGCATTCAGAAAATTAGTTTTTACAGAATAACAAACAAACTTGCCACAAAATTCTTCAAACAATTTACCAAAGAAAAGAAGAGAAAAAAATCCAAAATTTTATTTATCCTTAATACAATGTCTTTTCAAAATCTATAAAAATTATCAGTAACAAGAAATAATTTACGAAGTCTCCCAAACAAAGCTCCAATAATTTGTCATTCCCATGGTCGCCTGACATTGGGCAAAGTCCAGTACAAATTGGTTTGTGATATGCATAAGTGATGCCTATGGATTGACCCTGTATGTCATTCAAATCTTCTTGAAATTACAAACAGGAATATATATGGTTTAGGGGTGGAGATCTCGACCATTTACAAGTTCTCAAAAGGGGGGGGGGAGTGTTGGTCCCAAGGGGACTTGCCCTTTATTTCATATGATTTGTTTTTTTGTCCCATACAAGAATATATATGGTTTAGGGGTGGGGATCTCTACCGTTTACAAGTTCTTAAAGGACTTCCCCTATATTTCATTTGATTTGTTTCACTGTCCCATACAAGAATATATATGGTTTAGGGGTGGGGATCTCGACCGTTTACAAGTTTTCAAACAGGAGGGGGTGGGGGTGACCCAAGGGGACTTGCCTTATATTTCATTTGATTTGTTTTATTGTCCCATACAAGAACATATATGGTTTCAGGGTGGGGATCTTAACCATTTACAAGTTTTTCAAAAAAAAGGGGGATGGGGTTACCCCAGGGGACTTCCCCTCATTTTCATTTGATTTGTTTTATTGTCCTATTCAAGAATATATATGGTTTAGGGGTGGGGATCTCTACCGTTTACAAGTTCTTAAAGGACTTCCCCTATATTTCATTTGATTTGTTTCACTGTCCCATACAAGAATATATATGGTTTAGGGGTGGGGATCTCGACCATTTACAAGTTTTCAAACAGGAGGGGGTGGGGGTGACCCAAGGGGACTTGCCTTATATTTCATTTGATTTGTTTTATTGTCCCATACAAGAACATATATGGTTTCGGGGTGGGGATCTTAACCGTTTACAAGTTTTTCAAAAAAAAGGGGGGTGGGGTTACCCCAGGGGACTTCCCCTCATTTTCATTTGATTTGTTTTATTGTCCTATTCAAGAATATATATGGTTAAGGGGAGGGGATCTCAACTGTTTACAAGTTATCAAAAAGGAGGGGGGGTGGGGGTTACCCCCATGGACTTCCCCTATATTTCATTTGATTTGTTTTATTGTCCCATACAAGAATATATATGGTTTCGGGGTGGGGATCTTGACCGTTTACAAGTTATCAAAAAGAAGGGGGGTGGGGGTGACCCCCCGGGACTTCTCCCTATATTTCATTTGATTTGTGTTATTGTCCCATACAAGAATATATACAGTTTAGGGATGGAGATCTTGATCGTTTACAAGTTCTTAAACAGGAGGGGGTGGGGGTGACCCCAGGGGACTCGCCTTTTATCTTACTTGATTAGTTTTATTGTCCCATACAAGAATGGTTTCAGGGTGGGGATCTTGACCGTTTACAAGTTTTCAAAAAGAAGGGGGGTGGGGGTGAACCCGAAGACTCCCCCAATATTTCGTTTGATTTGTTTTCTTGTCCCATACAAGAATATATATGGTTTAGGGGTGGGGATCTCGACCGTCTACAAGATAAAAGCACATTCTCAAATTGAAGGGGGGTGGGGGTAAGAATATTTATGGTTGAGGGAGACTTAATTATCTACAAAATGTCTAATAATGAACAGTAAATTTCAAACTTCATTTATACAGTCATACTAGTAAATTTCAAACCTTATTTATACAGTCCTACAGATCTTATCAGGAAACAGAAAATTTTCAAATAAATCTGTCACTCCAATGATTATCATATGCTAAGATATAACCCAGATTCTAATTAATAATTAATAATGTAATTAACTTCAAAATGTCTAATAGTATAGCTTATAATCATCACCACTGAGGAAATAGAAAATTTTCAAATAAATCTGTCACTCCAATTTTTTTTTTGTGAGATAAGACATTATGCTTAGTCATAATATGATAACAAGAGAGAAAAATATTTAAAAATACCAATTTTGGATATTAAAAATGGCAATAACTCAAAAAGGAGAAATACTAAAATTTTGAAAATTGAACTAGACCTTCATTAAGTCCCAGGAAACAACATATTTAAATTTGAAAAAAATTTGTTAAAGCGTTTTCATGTTATTGTGGAGACTCTGTTTGGCAGCCGCCCATCCGACCGCCCGCCCGCCCTACATCCCCAATTAATAACCGATATTTCCTTCGAAAATCCGGTTAAAATTGTCTTTTAAGGGCATTTGTTACTTTAAGGGGTCAGCCCATGGTTTCTGTCATATTTGCATTCCTATAGCTCTTGTATACAGATTATTTTTGTTGTTAACAGTTTCTACCTATCTGTTAAGACTATTATATTTTTTAAAGATTAGAGGCATATACTTGAAAATTAGTAAAAAATAAAAGAAGTTTGTCCATGGGACAAAGATGCCCAACTTGTAGTGTGAAAATGGCAAATTCAGCAATTTATTCATTCATAAAGTACATAACTCGAGAACAGTGAAAGCGACTCCACCCAAATTCATTTTTGATCTGTATTTGATGGTAATAACCATTGTGTATAAGTTTCATAACATTTGGTTTATGCAATCTAAAGTAAGAGAACAGAAACCAATTTTGGACGGACGTACAGAGGGACAAGGGTAAACCTTACTCCCCCCTTCGCCTAGCAGCAAGATATATAATCAATTTATCTGTATGTTGTATTTTTAGCCATGGCAGTCATATTTGTTGACTCCCCTGGTAACGGCCGTATGATGCCTGAATGCATCACCTGGTAACAGCCGTGTGATGCCTCAAGCCATTATGGAAAATAAAAAATGTACTGCCTACTTTCAGTTTGAATATGAGATCAATTACGTAAAGCTGTAAAGCATCCGTTACCATAGTATGTTAACAGGATTCAGATTTTTATATATATAATGTACAAATTTTGACAATAAAAGTCATAGTTATGTCATTTCTTCGCATTTTCGATTTGCATTTTTGTGCAGCCATTTTTTTAAACTTGTCATACATGTGCAGTCAACATGGTTGCTTTAAAAATTGAAAATTCATTACCGTTCACCGTAACACACGAAATCTTTAAACCATTTACATACCCCAAGTTGCAATCTGTACTTGACAGTGTTTAATAAAAAGATAAGCCAGTAATTTCTGTCTTTTTCCGTTTCACCTTTGCATGTTTTTGATTTACACTCTGTTGACGATCGGAAGTTTATGGTTTTTCGCCGACATATAAATTTCCCATAACCTTCAGGTCATCTCCCAAATTAGCTAATCCATATTTTTGTGCAGCCAATCAAAATTTTCTAGGCTAAAAGGCGGCCCCATAGTAAAACTGAAATAAACCATGTAGTATTGTCGTCCGTGTGAAAGTTTCAAAATGTCTGAATCTTCAG